CCTGCAATGTCATAAGTAATACTAGTTCCTAAAAGTCACAAAGTAATGAGATGGCAGAATAGGATTTCGAACTTTGATCTAAAACTTTCTTAGTATATAATTTCCAACTTAGAAGCTTCTACTACTTGCAACAAAGTAGACTAAGAGGACAAAATTTTTCAGTTACTCAGATGTACCCAGATTCAGAAGTGTCATTTATTACTTTAAAAATATATTAGAAATTTGGCACTAGATGCCTGAGTTGATTATATTGATAAAGGCCTTACAAGATCATTTCTAAGAGCTAGCCTCCCACATTATTCAGCTATTTAAAGTATATTTTGAACCTGGTTTATTCAGGGCATGGCTAACTTTAGAGTTACAACACTCATCTTCTATGCCCACTTCATCATTCTGAAAAATGCTACCCATCTGCTAATGAGAAATTTGGGAGAATACATAAAGCTGCAGATAAGAAATCTTATCTGTGAAAAAAGTAGTAGAGGGACCAGCAGTTAGTGTAATGGCTATGTCGCTGGACTCCCATGCATTCGACCATGGTTCGAGTCATGGACCTGGTGGCTTAAACTCATGCCAGGCGCATGTGTGTGCGTGCCCAAGATCCTGATAGGAGAGTGGAGGAGAATGGAGTATGGTGTGGCCATCCTCCCTGGGGGGGAAGGGGGGGCGATTTCTCGCTTTCTGTCTCTCTGTCTCTCTGGCGAGCGTACACGCCCTATAACAAAAACATCTCAAAAACAAACAAAAAAAAAGAAAGTAGTGGAGAGGAAAAAAGAAATCAAGAATGTGTTTTGCTTTTCTGTTTAAGCAAGTCCTCATCATCCCTCCATTGTTCATGAGCATTTAGCTGAAAGATCACTTGTATGGATGCATGGAATATTTGTTGGTTACTAACCTAGAACAATATTTATTAAAAAGTAATCTAAACATCTGACCTAACCTAGAATAATGTTTACATAAAAATAATCTTCTGTAAGACTTCCCATGAAGGAGTCTATACTTATCAACTACTCTGAGAAAACTAACCTAAAATATCCTACACACTACAGAACCCAAACTCACAGCTTTTACCTAGACTAGTATGTTGGAGTCGGAGAATCTCTAAGCCCCACAAAAATCACACATTTTAAAAAACTCTCAAATTTAGTACTGATATCCATGGTACATATTGCTTTCAAAATACCAATAACAAGGACAAAAATATAGAAGACTCACTGAGACAGAAATTAGAGTGCTATGTATTATAGGGCATTCTGGAAATATGTGGGATATATAAGTGATTTTCGACATAAATGCATAACTTTTTTACATATAAGGCTTTTTCAGTTCATACACACTAAAAGATACAATTATCCAAAGTTTCTTTAGAACTGAGATGTATCTAATAGCTGATACAACAACTTACAAATCCCTGGCTAAACAGAAGCTTAGTTTCAGTGACATTTCTGCTAAGATATCAATGAAGAATCATTAATTCAATAAATTCTCAGATGCTCATTAGTGTACCACATATTATGAGGCAATATAAAGGTGATTAATTATGATTGCCACCTTCCAGGGGTTTAGCTCTTAGTGAAGGAGATAAGATACATGTACACACAGCTAAATCACAAGTCAGAATGAGGAAGTAAATAATTACAAAGTCTTATGCAAAGTTAAAGGGTAATACATCACCAGAAATTTACAACCTAGTAAAGAATATAAGTCTTTACATCTCTAAATCAAGGCAGAATGTGAACACAACTTTGTGATTTAAAAGTATTATTACAGTGTAAGAGATGTCAAGTCACATCAGGCTGGAAGGGGAGGGAAGCCCTCATGCAGCACACAGCTAAACTAGACTGTTCTTAAGACAGATTGTAAGAACAGTGAGCACTGAAGCCTAGATGGGGAAAGGACTGCTAGCACGCAGCACCAAAACCAGCTGAGGATTGGTAGAGCACAGGCTCTACAAGAACTGATTAATCAGAATGGTCACCTATTTGGACAAAAATGAAAAATTTGACTACATTGAAAAAAAAAAATAACTGCAACAAACTGAGTTCCATCTAATATGTAGAAGCAAGATTCTGAGTCTGAAATGTATTATCTAACTTTGAGAGTTTTAGTGCACTAATTCATGTGCCTAAAAGCAGGTAACAGGGGAACATTAAGCACATCTCTCTTTATAAACTGTGTTTCTAGAACCTAATCTTGGGCTTCCTGGGCTTCAGGAAAAGTGGATGCAATATCTCTACTAACTGATAATGGCTTAATCAATACCTCTCTCTGAGTCTTCATTTTCCTCCTCAAGGCATCTCAGCAGCATCTAACCCAGGTGACCAGTCCACTCTTAAGGGCAACACTCTTCGCTTCGTCTTCAGAAAATCACCTTTTCCAGTTCTCCTCTCAACGCTCTATTTCTCCTCTTGGCCCACAGTGCCAGTGCCCATATGGGAGATGGCTTTCCCACAGTCCTATGTCCTCCTGTGTCTCCCTGTGGTCCAACCAACCTCATCTGCCACACTTCAACTTTCTCTTTCCTTTTGTGCCCACACAAACGCAGAGGGAGCCAATGGGCCAGGCAGGGCCTGGAGTATGTCTGGGTCGTCAGGTTCCACCAGACCCTAGTTCCAAGAGAGACAGGTCTAGCCTTAAACATTCAGTGGTATCTGGAGGCAGAGTGACTAAGGACAGATGCTCCAGGCCTTGCCCATCCTTGGCCCAGGAGAAGGAAGGAAGTCCTGGCACTAATTTTCCCTCCAACTCTAGCCCTCTGTAAACTTGTTCCTGTGCTATCTACCTAAGTATTCCTTCCTTTCATTCCAAATGTCTACATATTTCGTTGTATCTTCAGATAGGGATGATTCTCTACAAATTTATGTTCATTATATGGTATTACATTGTAGATATGGATGCTAAATAAGCAAACAAATAAGAACAAGGCAAGCAGTGGTCCATAAACTACATACTGGCTTTTTAAAACTCATGAGTATTATTTTCCCTTTTTCATTGTGAGGCCTTTTTGTTAAAAATACAATTAATAGGAATCATGTTTAGTCACCTGAATCCAATTAGTTCAACTGGTTAAGGTTTGGATTTAATGAGATTTATTCCAAGGATTTAATTCCTGCATGAGGCAGCTAGTTCCACTCACTTCCCAGTTAGAGACTACCCCTTTCCAAGCCTGCCAAGTCCCCAGGCATCAGAGCATGAGTCATTGCAAACACATTATTACAACCAGAAGATCAATTAAAATACCTTGTTTTATTGAACATCTTCATATATGAACAAGCAGCACTTGTTAGAGAAATTACATAAATCTTCTTATAAGACTTTCATAAGATTATTTATAAATGTGTTGAGAATGTTTAGACATGATTATTTTAAAATTTGGGCAAAAATAATGATATTCACTCCTTAAATCTGATAATCAGCTTTGCATTCAAATGTGAATAGAGGTTTTCAATACTTTCTGTCTTATTAGTGTCCGCCTCAATCCAATAAAAATAATCAATATAGAAAGCTATATTCGTTCATAATGTTCTAGATGGTTCTACAATCTGTCTTAAGAACAGTCTAGAAACTATGTGTCCTTTCACACTTGTAATTTTAATTATGCTCACAAGCTACAGCTACCATGAGAGAAATGGTAGGCAACTTTTATGATATATATGTTTTTTTTTTCACACATTGTCCATATCAGGTCTTAGAGAAAACTGTCAGGAGAATGTATAAAGTTACAAAATAAAGAAGCAAAATGTTAAAAATTAAAATAGTCCCCTAGGCTGTCAGTAATGCTGTACTTGATAATAATGTATCCATTCCCCCAGACACTAACACGAGCACATCCAATCTCAAAAGAAATATGTCTTCCTCCTATAATCAACCAGCTGCTTTAGAAAAGCAGTTCCAATATTACAAACCTAAAGTTAAACATTTTGATGCCATAAAGAAAAATACAGTATTTCAATACACATATGTTTAATTCACACCCAAGATGTTACATCATAATATTTTTATTTTATTATTTTCAGCAAGAAGCTGATTTCTCAAACCATAAACATTTCAATAAATTTAATAACACAAATGACTGAGATAGAACTACATTTCATAGCTAGTCTACTAATATATACACTATGAATTCAGTGTTTGCCAAAGGGTTGGATGACAAACATGTTTGCATTGAGCTAGATTCAAAATCTTGTTCTATCAAACATATTCTCTTATCTAAAAATAGCTCACCATACAAAGATGAAGACAACCAGGCAGCACTAATAGCAAATCATTAAGAAATAAATTATTTATCTCCTAAAATACGTAAGTATGCAGAACTTGGAAGTAATCAAGTCACAGTAAATTATACTGGGCTTGATGCAACATTAATATAAACTCTCACATCTTCAACCACAGATGTATTTCTCTTATCAGAGGCCAGTTCTTACTCATTTAAAGTGTCTGAGTAATAGGCTGAATTGAAATTTGAAGTTCTATTTCAACCAATGTTTTAAGTCCTCACAAATACTGATATTTGACAATACTATTTAATGAGGCTTTAAATTACCAAAATGGGGTTTTGAACATAAAAATAGATGGGGACCAGCAGATGGTGTAATGGTTATATTGCTGGACTCCCACATAGCTGATCATGATTCGAGTCTTAGACCCAGCGGCTTGAACTCATGTCAGACGTGTGCCCAAAATACGGAGAGGAGAATGGAGAAGAGAGGATTGCAGAGTGGCCATCCCCCCAGGGGGTGATTTCTCACTCTGGCATGCACCCTATAGCAAAAATAACTCTTCCAAAATAAATAACTAAATAAAAATAAAAACAAAACCATTCAAAGCAAGACATGACACAGCATGGTTAGGCAGCTCACTCACTCTCTCTGAGGTACTTTTCTATAAAAAAAAAAGTCTGAAGAAAAAAGTTCACAAGTATCCACTTACTAAGAAGAAAATAAAACAAAAGAAGAGCAGAAATCAGTGGCTGTGTGGACAGTGGCTATAAGAAAACATACCTTTCTCTCTCCCCTTCTGTGAGATCGTATAAGCGGTTGGCACCTCCATCAGCACAGGCTCTTAAAAGAGCTTCAAATAGAAAGAAGGAAGATCATGTCAATACAGGAGGCACAGTGCAATATCTTGTAAATGACAAACATCACGTGCAGGTGCTCAGACACACAGACAAATGCATGCTAGCTTCCTTGAATCATTTCACATACAGATAGTGACAAAGACGCTATGAAATACAATTCCACATTGCGTAACACAAGACACAATCTCCAGCTGTCCAAGTTTATGCCTTTTGTATCTTTCTCAATCCCCTCTGATTAAATAAAGAAGACTGTACATGATACTAACATGTCTTCTATATTTCTTTTTTGGAGAGGTTTTCGCTATAGGGCGCGTGCACTCGCCAGACAGACAGAGAGAGACATAGAGACAGAAAGCGAGAAATCATCCCCCAGTGGGGATGGTCATGCCGCAATCCCTTTTCCCCTATTCTCCTCTCGGGATCTTGGGCACGCACGCACACACGCCCGGTGTGAGTTTTAAGCCACCGGGTCCGGGACGCAAACCGCGGTCGACTACGTGAGAGTCCAGCCACACAGCCATTACGCTAACGACTGGTTCCTGACATGTCTTCTATATTTCTTGAAACTAGCTTTTCCTCCTTTATTACATAAGCTAGGCCTCCGATTTAATGACAGAAAATAGACTATACTTCTCACTGTATTTCTCCCTCCATTCCTTTTTAAAGATATTTTCTATTTAAGGAAGTTAAAAACGGAGTTTTCCATTTTTATTGTTATTTAAAATTTCCCACTTAATATATACCGGGTGTCCGCACTCTGTGACTGAAAATAATTGACTAAAGGATATGGAAACACAGTAGATAGATGTGAATACCAGATATAGAGTGTGTCAAAGAGGAGGGTCTGAATAAGGACATTTGGAAGAAAAATAGGGAGGCAAAGCATTAATGGCACAAAGAAAGGTGGTATTATCTGTTGAGAATATTTTGTAGTTTTATCAACTGTACTAGGGAGAAATGTTCACCTGTTGAAATATCCATTTTGTAAGACAAATAATAATGTGATTGAATGCATAAAAGAAAATGAAATGAAATTTTCTTAAATAAAATAAAAATAGATAAATTAAAAAAGAAAATAAAAATACGTCATAAACATGAGTTTATGTCAAAGTATAAAAAATAATAATCAATAAATGGCGTGTGAACAATATAAAAAAAAGTCTACAGTGCAGAGATTAAGAAAGCTTGATCTCGCATGGCCCACCACAGTTCAGTTCCTGCTTTGGTGGCTTGAAAAATCTGAGGGCACATGTGTGGGCATGCCTGAAATCTTGCTGGGAAGGAGGAGTGGAAAAAAAGGATTGCGGCATGACCACACCTCCTTCTCCCATTTATTCATTCATTTATGGTCTCTCTTTCTCCTTCTTTCCCTCTCTACTCTCTCCGTCTCCCTCCCTCCCTCCCTCCCTCCCTGTCCCTGGTAGTACATACACCCTCTGGTCATTAAAAAGTAAAATTGTGAAGGTGGCACAAAATTGACTGAAACTTGGGAAATGCAAAGGTAATCAAATAAATAAATACCAGACCAATGCTCGTCCTTACTACACAGCTATTAATATCAGAATCACCAGGTCACAACGATCAGTAGAGGCCTTGAACTTCAGAAGCTTCAGCAGAAACAGAATACTCTTTTGAGCCACATCTGCATTTTATGACACTAAGAAAACCATTATACCCTTTGGCAAATGTAGCTTTACATTTAAGTGTATTTAGAAAATTTCCAATAATCCCTCATACCTGAGTCTATTGTCTGTGTTGAATGTTATGTCAGAAATAAAGAGTTTAGGGACCAGCAGTTAGCGTAATGGCTATGACACTGGACTCCCATGTAGTGGACCACGGTTCGCGTCCCGGACCCGGTGGCTTAAAACTCATGCCAGGAGCATGTGCGTGTGTGGCCAAGATCCCTAGAGGAAAATGAAGGAGAAGGGATTGCAGCATGACCATCCCCCCGGGGAGTGATTTTTCGCTTTCTGTCTCTCTGTCTCTGTCTGCCTGGCAAGTGCACATGCCCCATAGCAAAAAACTCTCAAAAAAAAAAAAAAAGAGTTTAAATGAAAAAAATTTATATATATATACACATTTTGCTTCAGCTTCCTCATCTGTAAATGAGGATAGTATTACCTATGGAATAGGGTTTTGTTTTGTTTTGCTTTGCTTTGTTTTTTTAGAGAGATTTTTGCAGAGTAAACATGTGCTCATGGAGAGACAGAGAGACAGAAAGCAAGAAATCACACCCCAAGGGGGATGGACACGCCACACCCCTTTCTCCTCCATTCTCCTCTTGGGATCTTACCCAGTGCAAGTTTATGCCACCAGGTGTAGGACTCAAACCATGGTCAACTTCATGAGAGTCCAGCGACATAATCGTTACACCATCTGCTGGTCCCTGGGACAGTGTTACTAAACAATTAATGGTTAAATAATTAGTGCTCATCACAATCATAGAACAGAGTAAGCCTTCAATATACATTAGCTCCCTTGCTCCATTGGTTAGAATGAAAATAAAATCTAATACTCCATGTTCCTAGAAAAGCCTAAGCTACTTACAAAATACAAAACAAAAATAAGAGTTTTCACAAAGATACTTAAGAGGGGTGTCTCATTTTACCAATTAGCCATAACATGATTTTCTTATAGTGACACCCAAATTTATATTATTATGCGACAAAAATAATTCCTAGGAGATCACAACATATATTGCACATTTCCCAAATATCAAAACTATATAGCTAAAGGAGAGAGATCCCTTCACATATAAAATATATACAACAACTGATAAGGGAGTTTAAAAGACATTAATAGAAACAGATGTTAAACTATCAGTAATTATTCTGAGTACATAAAAAAAATTCTCTGTAATCAAAACTAACAAGCATATGGGTTCTTTTTTATGTAAAAATTGATTCACTGAAGTGATATGAAATTCTAAGAAATAGTAACTTTTAGTGGCTAAGGATTATCAAATAGAATGACTCATTAATTTTTTAAATCCTATTATTTTACATGTGCCAGGCTATAAATAAAATAGAGAGATAAATAACAGGAGATCCAGCTCTCCAGGCTGACACTGCGGTGGGAAGATGGAAGCGAGCAAACACAATCATGCCCCAGTATCTAGAGGGAGTAGGGGGTGGGGGTGGGATAGGAAGGCATCTCAGGATGCTCCGTTCCCTTAATAAAATGGTACAATATTTGCATATACTCTAGACACTTCCTGCTATACTTAAAATCATCTCTAGATTATTTATAACATCAAACACAATGCTAATGCAACATAAAGAGTTGTTACAATGTATTGTTCAGGGAACAATGATGGGAAAAAGTCTGCACATGTTCAGTACAGATTCAATCACTGTAGGCCTAACTACAAATTATAACAGCAACAATGTCACATTTTCCATCCGTGATTTCTTGAATACACAGATAAGGATCCAACGGATATGGATCCCTCAGATACAAAAGACCAACTGCATGTGCAAAGCACTGTAGACTATAATAAAGGAACCGAAATGCTACATGAAGGCAAGGAAAGGAGAGATGAATTTCACTAGACAGATTGGTAAAACTGCTAATAAATAAATCCAGTTCAGCTGAGATCACTATTACTATTGTTTATAAAACTGATACTTAAACGGATATTCTGAGAGCAAATTTTTAAAAAGCGAAACACGGGGGCCAGCAGTGGTTACAGTGCTGGACTCCCACATGGCTGATTACTGTTTGAGTTCCAACTTGGCTTTAAAAATGCACTGAGTACATGTGTGTGCATGCCCAAAATCCCAGGAGGAGAATGGAGGAGGAGAAGGGATTGTGGTCTGGCCCTCCCCTCCAGGGAGTGATTTCTCACTTTTCCCTCTCACTGTCTCTCTCTGAGTGCATGTGTCCTACAGAAAAAAAGTGGGGGAAAAAAAAAGAAAGACAAACACTTAGATCATAGGAAGTAAGTTTTTCCTTACATAATATGTAAGTTGGGAGTAAAAGTTCAATCCATCTGAAAGAAAGAACGAGTTCTAGTCTATCCCTAAAAATGTCTACTTTCAGTGAAGCATTACAAAAAATGTATTGTACTTGTTTTAAATTTTAATAAAAATGTTTTCATCAGCTTCAAATATTTTCTTCATACATAAATAAGTCTGCATCTGAGAATAAAATCTTTCATGTGGATATAGTAAAGAACACTGGCACAAGTACACACAAAGTAATTTGAGAAATGTGTAAATAAGTGTTACCATTAATAAAAGTGACCAAGTAAAGGAACCAGAAGTAGAGAGCACTCTTAAATAAGATATTTTTGATAAATCATAATGAATCTGCCTCAGAAAATAGGTTCACTTCATCATCGTTTAAAATGTCCTGAGCTTTAATGAATAGAAGTTATTGCTTGAGTTATCTTTTAATGTAAAAAATTCTACTAGCTTATACAGCAAAATTTTTGCAGAATTGTCAAACGCTATTACTTAAATGGTTGAGCAATTACTGTGCATCAGGTTGATAAACAGTTGAAGACTAAAAATACATTAAAATCTCTATAGCAACTTTATATTTTAATAGTATCAGTATGTTAAATACATCTTAAACTATTTTTTAACTTTGCAAAATAAGTCTGCATAGTAAGTTAATGTTACTAACAAACAATAAAGAACTCCTGTCATAACCAGAGGTTAGTTAGCTACTTTATAAATTTCTGTTGAATAAAATTGAACAGAAATAATGTGACATTCTATAAAGTAGATTATTCAATTAGTCCCAAGTATTAAGGTAGAGGAAAAATAAAATTTAAGAAAGATTTTGCAGTTTCAGATAACTGAAAGACTACCAGAGATGGGTTTCAATTCTAATCTTGATCAGTCACTTAGCAGTCCTGTGACTTTAAACTAAGTCAGGCAATCTGATCTTAATACAAATCAAGATTACTATGAATACTCTATCCAATTTACAAATAGTTTTCAAGGACTGAAAAGAAACAACATAGAAAAACCTAGAAGGAATG